TGGTTGATGTAGCAAACAAATTCACTTATTTTCAAGCAATCACAGGCCTCGAAGACCCTGATTTGTGCACCGAAATCCTCTCCACCCATGGTTGGGACCTCGAACAAGCTATCTCTAGTTTCACCTCTGCCGACAATAATCCCTCCGCCTCTTCCATTACCACCACCTCCGAGACCGGACGCCATTGTTGGCGTCAAAGTAGTAGTAGTTCGTCTTTTCGTCGGTCAGCAGCATTGAAAATCATCATCGATCTCTAAACTTAGTAGCGATGCAGATCTTTATTGAGGCTGATCTCTTTATTTTCTCTCTCTAGACTCTCTCTCATTGAGGACGGTGACGATAAGTTCGGATTTGCTAGAGAGGTTTTTACATTGGTATGGGTTTGATGAATAGGGAAGAAGAAGAAGAATAAGGAAGATGAGAGAGACACGCAATGGTAGCAAAATCATTGGAGATGGAAACAGAGGTTGCTGGCGGCAGTGGGAGTGATGGTCATCAGTGGAAATGGTGGTGTAAATGTTGGTAGGGTAGGGTTTGGAAAATTAGAGTTGGGGTTAGGGCTTGGGAAATTAGGGTTAGAATGTTAGGGATGAGGGTAAAAATGTAACACTATGCTTGGATAAAATTAGAATTAAAAAAATAAAAAAATTAAGGGTCCAAAGAAGAAAGGTAGGTGCTAATAGTAACACTTTTTTTTTTCGTCTAAGATTATGGAACTGTTTAATAATAGTCACTGTGTTTGGTTTTGAGAATTTCATAAGGTTTCGTTTGGGAAATGGGTTGGTTTTTTAACTTTTTTGGCTATTTTAGCCTTAGGCTAAGAAGTCTCGTTTGAGAATGACTTTTGTTTTTTTTTGCTTTTCTACAAGAGGAAGAATGCCATAATTATGGATTGAATGTGATATTTTGTTTTATTTGACTAAAAAATTTATTTTATTTTTTATGGTTAAAATAGCCAAAAAAAGCCCCAAACTTGGCTTCCCAAACGAAGCCTAAATAGTTTTTGAATTTTTAATTCATATATTTTTTTATTTTTCTAGGAAAAAAAATTGTAAATAAATTATTTTTTTTAAATTCATATAATCTAAATATACTTAAAAATATAAAATTGGTGAAGAAATCAAAAAAAAAACGTATATCACTTTGCAACACATTTGCACCATTGTGGAACTTTTTTATGTCATGTCCTGGGAATATACTTTGAGGCTTTATTTGAGACGTGGGTTGACTTTTTATCTTTTTGCTATTAGCTTGGGGTTAAAAAGTTTTGTTTGAGATAAACTTTTTAACTTTTTTGATATTTGTGAAAAAAAAAAATTTACTTTTTTGATTTTTATCAAAGAAAAATAAAATTATTATGATTTAAATGTGATTTTTTTTGACCCGTAACTAAAAAGCTTGTTTTATTTTTTTTTTAAAACTATTTTAGTCCCAATTTACCCCAATCCATCATGCCAAACCAATGCTGAAAGGAAAAGCTGATTAATTTTTCTTTTATGATTCTACTTACTTTAGAAGATGTGTTTCTCACAAATAACCTCTGCAAACTCAAATTCCATTACTTTTGAGTATATCTCTCATTTCTTCATATTTATTATTTTAAAAACAATAAGATTAGTATGTATTATTTTTATGGGGCTTACTTCTTTGCTGTCTGTGATTGAATTAAAGGGTACTGTTGGACCCGTAAAAGTCTATCGCAGATCCCGTTTCAATAATCTGAACCATTTAATATGTAGAACTCCTTGAGTAATATATTCCTGTAAAAAATTACGTTGATTGGATATCAATAGCTATATGATCAAATTAGTTTTTATAAAAAAAAAATAGACGGCAAAAAAAAAATGACTGACAGAAATCTAATTCGATGATATAGCTATTGATATCCGATCAACGTAATTTTTTACAAGCATATAGTACTCAATGAGTTTTACACATTGAATGGTTCAGATTATCGAAACATGACTCGTGATGGCCCCCACAGGCCCAACAATATTCTCAATCTGATCCCAAACTAGAGGGAAATCCAACCCTATTTGTATTTATGTTTTTGTCAATAAGACTAGTGGATTGCCTTCTTCTTTTTCTTTTTTTCTTTTTTCCTTTTTTTTTGGTAAATTGTTGTTTATTGCCCTAATTAACATTGCCATTTGCTTTGTTAGTATTGAACCTTTATGGACTTAAAATGGTGTAATCTCTAGGAGTTTTATCGATCGGTCCCATTAATCATATTTATTTATTTATAAGTCCTGTTATTTTTTACTTATCAATATCTCAAAAACATATTGGAACAAAATAAATATTTTAAGACTTATTGATGAATTAAAAAAGTGTACATGACTTATAGATAATTAAATCCATCACATAAGACTAGAACATAATTTATTCTAATCTTCTAATACAATGCAGTGTTTTAAATCTAATTTTAAAAATAAATTTCAGAATTTTAGATTAAAGTAACATGATAAACATAATTATTTGAATTCTTCTCATGAATTATTCAACTTGTAGAAAAATATTAATAAAATACATCTTTTCTATCTCTCCGTCATTCTTTACTCTAAAATTATTCGGAAATGAGCCGTAGCTCGAATTGGTTGGCTCGAATTGGCTCAAAAGAGGGAGAGAAGAGAGGAAGAAGAGAGGAGAAAGAGACAGAGGAGAAAGAGAGAGAGAAGGGAGGAAGAAGAGAGGAGAAGAGAAAGCACCACCGCCGCCGCCGAGGATCGTCGCTGCTCGTCACCTCGTCGACTCTGCCTCACCTCCGCCCCCCGCCCCCCGCCTCCAGCCCCATTTGTTGGGCCCCCTCCAGTCCCTCCTCCTCCTCCCCCTCCCCCTCCCCCTTCAGTCCCTCCTCCTCCTCCCTCCTTTCTCCTCTTCTCCTTCTCTGCTTCTGATTCGAGCCAATTTCGAGCTCCACCTTTCGAGCTACGTAGCACTACCGAAAATTATTAATTTGCATCCAATAGTTAACATTCCTGCAATTTCATACTCTCAACACCAAATCCCAATTTTTCTAGTTTTTGACCTACTTTTTGAGTTTGTGGTAAAATGGAACCCCATAACTCTCAATTTTTAAAAGCTTTGGTTGTGGTTGATTCATTATTTGGAAAATATTTTTTTTAAAAACACGATGTTAAATCGTGCATTTAAAATATATGTTAAAAAAATTATATAATTTTTTATTACACACTTTTCAAGTAACACATATAATCTTTTTAAATTTCATAGAAAAATATTTGGTATCTCAAAATTTTGTAGCTCAAATGGCTTAAATCTGTCAAAACGACGTCGTTTTACACTCAAAATCTGGCAAAACGACGTCGTTTTAAATGATTTGAGTCACAAAATTTTGAGCTACCTAGTATTGTTGAATTTTGTAACATGTGCACTAAAGACAAATTAATATTTAAAAAAAAAAGTGATATAAAAAAATAATAATGATATACAAACAAAATTTATATACAAAATCATGTGTCTTATCATTGAATAATGCTATTTTCACACACTATTTATTCTCTGTGCATATCATCTTTCAAGACACACAAATTAATGAAATTAAAAATATTTTATTTCTCTCAATCTAGACATAATTGTTCTACGATATTCCCCTACACAAAATAATAGTACACACCTGAACAATAAAAAATAAGGCTGGGCACAGGGTTATTCGAACCATCAACTGGCTCAACTCGAACCAATCCGCATTTAAATGGACGGTTTTGCAGACACAATGCGGGCGGATGCGGTTTGAAATATGGCATTATTGTGGGTGCAAACGGGTAGTGGATTTTACCCGCACCTGCAAGAACCTGCTTTCACTTAGACTTTTTTTTAAAAATAAAAACCTGGATTATTGATTTCATTCATCCTATCTTAGATGGAGTTTGCGAGTTAGCAAATGTTTTTATTTTATTTCATGGATTTGAATTGGATGAAGTTTGACAACAATTTATTATTATTTTATTATTGCATTTTAGATGAATGTAAAAGTTAATGAAGAATTATTTTTAGATAAGTTTAGAATTTTGAATGATTTTACTTTAATTATATTGTTAGATAGTTAATGATTTTAATGATTTAGTTTAAGATTTTGAAAGATGTGTTTGTGTTAGTTTATGATATTAGTTAAACGTTTAGGATTTTGAATAATTTATTTGTATTAATAATTGATTTTGTTGTGTTTTTAACGCTTCAACCTTATTTTCCAGCGAAGGCGTTCAAGGCTTCAACATATACACATCCAACTATCAAACATGTGGATTTGTGATTGTTTCAATTTTTGGTTGAACAAATCCTTTGGCCAGATCAATTATCATTGGCTCAATCACTCCCAAATCCATGGCCAGGCATGCACATAACATACAAATATATATATACACACACAAAGCTTGATAAAACATTAACTAAAAAAAGCCAAAAACAGAGTTAATTTTCTATTACATATGCTTTCTCCAGAAATTTATGAACAACAGCAAAAGATAATAGTGGGTTGTGTATGGAGAGAACTCACGTTTTAATATAAATTGAGTAATAATGTCTATATCAATAATTTTATTTACTGATAAAATTATAATAATTTTTTTATTCATTAAGAGTGCACAAAAAAGAAATGATCCGTGAAAAAAAAAGGTATTGTCAATTCATTTGCAATGAAAACACCCACCATTATCCTTGTAATTTCGCAAATATTACTGTCACATTATTCTAACTTTGTATAAAAATTATATAAGCATATCACTAAAAAAAGGAATTACAAATGGTAACTGTCAAAACACAAAAAATTACAAAAAAAATGAAAAGGAAAGAGAAAAGAAGTCATACGAATATTTGCAATGACCCTAAATCATAGACCACAATTCTAGTATTATATCAGAACCATTACCTCTTACAAAGTACTTGGAAGGAAAAAGGCAGCAAGAGTATTGTAGTACATATTGGGATTTCTTACGCTTTTTTATGAAAAGCACACAACACTCTGTTTGGTGACACACAATTCATGCTTTAAAATCGGAATTGAAGAACACTTTAATTCAAAATACGAAATAGGATGAAGAATCCAGAACATGGAGTAGTACATGCCACGGTGCCATCAAACACAATGTGTTTGGCGGTACAAAATTCATGCTTTGAAATCAGAAATGAAGACCACTTCAGTTCAAAATATGAAATAGGATGATAGTCTGCAATTACGAATCCAAGATACGAATTACATGCCACCAAACACAGCATCAAAATAAAAGGTAACAAAGCCAAGGATGAATTGCCCAGCCGGTGCCATGGTTCGCTTGTTCCCACCTCTCACCGGACAAACGGAAACGGATCACAATGCCGAGTTCCATTGCACATGAGCCCCTCACTGCCTAGCACGGCAACGCCCTGGGGAGGAGAGATGGCAGAGAACCTGCGATCGGGTCGCCGGAAAATGATATCACTGTCAGTAACACCTGTGATGCTACATTCATCTTCAAACTGTGATATATCTCCCTTTTGAAACGAGTGAACTGAATCTGGGATACACTGGGAACCAGTGGTGTGAGGCAGATCAGGTTCTTGATGCTTCTTCGTGCTGAGAAACCGTCCCCCGGATCCCCTCACCCTATTCACTGCATGCAGATGCCGAGATTCATGAAGATAAGGCTGCATTTAATCGAAAGCAACGGTCAATCTATGATTTTTTCAACACAAAACAAATGCGGCCTAGAGGACTAATGCATCAATGGGAGAATCATTCCGGTAATAACGATATTTATGAGGTGGGATCTTCTGTCCCGGATCTCTCATCTATCTGTCCTAAGGCACTGAGTTGCCTTTACCAAACAATGGGTCTCTTTGACCTAATCGTGTGGTGGAGAGAGGGTCTTTCGATAGGGGCAGTGGTGGAGCCACAGTGAGGCTTGGAGGGGCATGTGGCATTCGATTTTTAAGATATTGTACTTTTATTTGTAATTATAAAATGTTTTTCAATTCAGTAATGCTACGGACCTACACATAAAAATTCAAAAATTATCCAGAATTTCACATCAATAGCTCAGATTCATTTCATATATGGACCCCACACTTCATCAATTCAACACATATCTATTTCTGGGTAAATTCAGATCCCAAATCCTGGGACCCTAGCCATTTGTTTTCAATTTACTCCTTTGAAATTTTAAGTATGTCCTCTAAATTTTTGTACATCCTCTTTTCTTTTCAACTAGTCACTTTTAAATGTTTAACTTGATAAATCTTCTCTTAAAAAATTTACTACCGTGTGTTTGTATCTTGGTGCAATTTTGTCCTATTTTTTATGGAGATCACATTTTAAATTATGATGACTGTCATGTTTAAAAATTAAAACAGAAAATTGAATTAGTTATAAAAAATAACAAATAAATAATTTAAAAAAAAAAGATTGATCGGGTAACTCAAGCATAAACATATATAACTTTGGCATCACCTTGATCTTTAGCCGACCCACCGCCAAAAAAATCAGGCTTGGTTGGGTTGTGATATATCTTGCTAAGGTTTCAATTCAAAGTTGCACCGAGCTAAAATCCTAAAATCTGCCACTAGACAGGGGGACAAGGGAGATCCAGATTGAGGATCCTGTATGTTACTAATATCAAAGTGGAATGCAAAATAATAAAACATAAAATCCCATAACAATATTATGCAGCTGCCTACCTATCGTATCCAATGGCAAGTGAGATTTTTTCTATTTATTTTTCTTTCTTTTTGTATTGAAGTGGAGAATATTAGAGGGTACGTTGAGAATGAATCAAGATAAGGTAACTTTCAACTAAAAGCCAATTCAGTGGAATGTACATACTCTTCGTGCTTTGACAAGTTTGTTTCGAGCCTCAAGTTTTGCACGCGTCTGTCTCCTTCGGAGGATTCCGTGGTACTGTTTTGCATTGACATAAATAGGACCATCTTCAGTTAGATCAAGAGGCAGCGGTACCCTAGCCGGTGCCATTCCTACCGTCTGAGGCTGAAACTGATCAAATTTCAATAGAAATTACATCATAGAAAGAACAATAGCCAAAGCACGTCATCGAAAAATCATACAAAGGCAAAAAAAAATATTAAAAAAATGAGGGAATTCTAAAAGAAAAAATGGTTTAAGCTCGAGTTCTGGAAGCTATAATCATTTAACCAAACTAAAGGTTGCCACTAATTAATCAAATGAAACAATCTCATTATTTTTAGGGTAAATAACACCGCTAGTCACTCTAGTTTGATCGAGAGAAACTTTACTTCGGTTCCCGTAGTTCCAATTTCATCAATTTAAAACCCCACACTTCCAACTAGGTTTCAATGTGATCTTTCTGTCAGTTGCCATTAGTATTTTGTACAGGAAAAGGCCACGTCTGACTCATATGAGAATTTTAGAAATTCCCGCACAAGAAAGAAAAATGAATAAATTACACTTGTGGTCTGGTTTCTATAGTTGCTTTCAAATTTTCACTTTGATCCCTCTAGTTATACACGTGTTGCTTTTCCACTCAATGCTAATGGCAAATTCCGGAAGAACCACATTAGAAAGCAATTGAACGTGTGAGGTTTAAATTGATTGGGAACTACACGGACCAAAGTGAAATCTCGCTACAACTATACAGATCAATGGTGTAATTTACCCTTATACATTATATACCATAGATCACAGGGATACTGTGAGGAGAGCATATCAAGTGCCCTAACCCAAGAAGCACATGCCCAAGTTTTGAGACTTCAAGATATGGACGTCTGATTTCACAAAGCAAACAAATAATTTGACAAAATTAATAGCATAGCCAGGTTCAGTGGATGGTCAAAAAAGAAATTCATTGCATGAAGAATTCAGGTAGTAGCAGAAAAAAAATCAAAAGTCACAAAAGTTAATTAACTTTTCAGGCAATGATCCTCACAAAATCACAAGCAGTGCAAAAAACTAATTTGGAAATATAAAGACCTGAAATATATAAAATAAAGTTAAAGAACAAGCTAAGTTTACAATCCACATGGGACTTGAGAAATTAACCTTATCAAACAGGTATTCAGAGGGTAACATAAACAGGTAAATTGACGGATGTGAAACAAGTAATTAGACGAAAAGAAAACTACTCACACTTCAAAGTTTTGAAACAGGAGTTCAGAGGCAAGTTCTTTTGATCACGAACTCAGTATCACAAAACAACTCAATACCATAATAAAGGTAACTAGAGAATCTTGATGCTTTATAATCTCTTCTACGTAATAAAAATCAACATGAAAGTCCACTCATATTGCCAAACAAATGGAAAACAACAACAATAAGCTCAAAAGTACTCACAGTAGTTTGTGGTCCATAGGTGGTGAATAACCCACCATAGTAAGGATCAGCATAAGGATATGAAATGTGATTCTGAAATGGGAGGCCATAAACATTAGGTATTAGGCTAACAGCAAAGCTGACAAGCAAAAAAACCCATATCCACAACAGGTCAACTTACAATTGACTGACTAAAATCAACTTGTGAAGGATTGGTGACAAAATCTGGATGGCGGCCCATAAAGAAAATCGGTGTCATTTGACCTTCTACATGCTTTTCATAACCTCCATCTCGAACTGTGTGAATAAATGGAGAAAGACAATTGAATTCATATTAAGCTATACTAGTGATAATATAGATGATAAATCACAGCAATTAAGATAAATATGCAGATTTCAAAAGCTGATACGATAATAGTAAGAACCAGATTCTGAAAACAGCAAGCTTAATCACAACCCTTTGGTCAAATATATGGTTTAAATCATATTATTGATCAAGGTTTAGGACTGGTTTATACTGTTCACAGCACCTAATACCGCTTTGTATATACTTTTAAGTCAATGGGAAAAGACAAGTTAAGATAATCGACAGTACTAACGATTAAGATTACCTAGTATGCACATATATTACGGATGTTGTTGGATAGCTCAATCTACAATGTCAGACGCATTTCCTAACTGATTAACTGTTGGGATAATTGGTAATCTAACATGACATCAAAGCTCAGGTTGGTAGAGGTTTTGGGTTCAAATCTCTCCATTTGCATTTGGTCCACTTTTGCATTCTTTCATCTTGGTATATATGATGTTTGCATTTACACATGCAAGACAAGGTTGAATGAGGGAGGGTATTGGATAGATCAATATACATTGTTGGGCCTAGTTCCTAACAGCTTAAGCATTTGAGATAATTGGTGATCTAAAAGGTGTAACTTAGTGCAATAAGAAACCTGTTTTACTATATAACTCCCATAATTACAAATCTTCAAAAAAGTAACAGGCACCTTGCAAGATTTAACAACTGAACACATCAATACCAGATTCTGATGAAATGCATTGATCTTGAGAATTGGTCCCTCCCATAGCAGTCACTTCATGGTGAGATGGACCAGTTGATCGAGTTGAGGACGAGTCCCGGTCTTGCTCTTGAATACCTAAATGCTTTGCCTCCTGACAGATATGGGGCAGAGATTCCACCTTCAAGCTTAAATTCTTGGATAAGGACAGAGAAAATTTCTGTTTATCTTCATGTGAATTCCACCATGTTGAGTGATTAACAGCAAAGTGGGACATTGAACAAATAGGACTTCGATCAAAAAAATTCTTGGAAAAATTGTGAGCTCATGTAGCCATCTATTTTATTGAAGCACCCTGCACTGTGATTCTAAATCCCACCATGCTTCACAACAAAGAGGCAACTTTCTTGCCAAGCTTTTAGATTAACTGCTCAAGTACAACACATAATACACGACAGTTGTGTCAATAATTGAAGAATTGATATGAAATGATAGAAGTTGTATCCTGGATCATATTAGCAAATGACAATCACCACCGGAGAGATCACAGACTCGTCAAAAGAACTAATAACTCCTGATTTTACTCTATAACCAATCATCTCTAGGTATAAAATCTTAAATCTCAAAATATTTATAAAAAATTAAAAATAAAAATAAAGATTAGTTTAAAATCTATGCTTTTGTCTTCTGATCGGCTAGTTTAAAATCTCTATCTAACATAGTTCCTTAACTAAAAAAAGTGAGCAAAAATTTCATTGGGTAAATTGCAAGGGCTAGATGCGAGAATATATTGTGTATAGAATTAGGGAAGATTGTATTGTGTATAGAATTAGGAATGATTGTGGTGTAACTATTTGGATGTATTTCCTTTTTTGTATTTTCCTTTTTCAGTCATAGGTTTAGGGTTATATAAACTGGTGACTTCCTTGTAAAGAAACACAATTGAATATACAGTTTCATTCAGAAAATTTACATGATATTAGAGCTCAATTCGAAACCCTAGGTGCTTCAATTGTCACTATCGTGGTTCGTCTTCGCTGTTTGTTGGTCATCTGTCTTGACCCATCTCTGGTTCTTCTGGTTCGTGACCATCATCAACCCTGACTCGCGACTTCTCTAGTTCGTATCAGCCCTCTCTAGTTTGTCTGGTTCGTCACCATCAGAATCGCGACTTCTCTCTCTCTCTCTCTCCAGACTCATGTTTGTGGTCGCGAAGCCTCTCTCTCTATCTCGCGAAGCCTCCATCTCTGGTTTGTGGTCGTGAAGTGTCTCTCTCGCGATCTCTGTCTGATCCCTATTCGGCTTGGGCTGCGGCTTCAGACTCTCTCTCTTGGGTCTTCCTCAAACTCTAGTTCATATTACTGAGTCATTCAAATTCTGATATTTGTGGGTGTTAGGGTAAAAAAAAAAAAAAAAATCTGGGTGCTATATTTGGACCACGCCTGATTATTATTTCATTTGTGAGTTTGTTGGATAACTGTTTTGCTTATTACAGTTTGATCTCTCTGGTTTTGATTTTGGGTTATTACACTTGGAACCCCTGGGCTTTTTGATTATTATAATGTTTCTGGCTTTTGATGATTGTGCCTTCTGCCATTAGAGGGGCCATTGGAAGTATCATTGTCCCAGAAGGGATGTTTGTTTGGCTCATCTTCTCAGCAGTCTCGAACTTAGTTTTGCCTTTCTTCTCCGAGTACTTTTCAGACTTCCACCAGTTTTACTGCACCTGCTCCAGCTCCTGATCATAACTTGGCTTCCTTGAGTGCTCAGATTAATCAACTTCAGCATACACTGCCTACCTCTACGCCATCCCTGTCTGCCTCCATTGTTTCCTCTCTTCATTTAGGTTTGCTTGGATCCTCTTTAGGTATCTCTTCGTTTATTTGAATTTTTGACTCTGGTGCCTCTCATCATATGACTCCCTATCTCTTCTTACTTCAAAATTGTACTCCTCATCCTTTTCCTATTACTGTTAATGCTGCTAATGGGTCTGGTATGTCTGTTATATCTGTTAGGTCTGTCTTACCATCTGCTATGTATACTGCCTCTATTCTATCTGCATTTTATGTTCTATCAGTTTATTATCTATTAGTCAGCTTGATTTCTCTGGTTTTGATGCTGTCTTCTCTTTTTCTATCTGTTCTATGTAGGATCAGATGTCCAAGCAGCACATTGGGACTGGCCGTAGAGTTGGAGACCTCTATGTGGTAGAGAGCCTACATCTGCCTATGACACCCTCTTCGATTGCCTTTTCCTCTTTTCAGTTAGATTCTCTGTCTAGTCCTTTCTACTTGTGGCATTCTAGATTAGGACATTTGTTTGCTGACCGCTTACGGTCTTTAGCTTAGTTTGGTATATTGGATAAAGTTTCTTCTAGTGAACTTACTAAGTGTCGGGGGTGTAAACTTGCCAAAATGAAATACTGATATTTAGGGCCCTTCTCTTATTCTTACCAAAGGGGGTTCTACATATTATGTGTCATTTGTTGATGACTGCACTCGTTACGCTTGGGTTTATCTTATGACTCATAAGTCCGACTTCTATTAGATATACCGTACCTTTCAGTCTATGATCACTACTTAGTTTGGGTCTACAATTAAAGTGTTACGATCTGACTTGGGTGGGGAATATTTTAAAAATGAGTTCTGTGAGTATTTGGCCAATTTGAGTACCATTCACCAAACTTCTTGTACTGATACACCTGCCCAAAATGGTCGAGCCAAGTGTAAACACCGTCATCTCCTTGAGACAGCTAGGTCTCTTCTTCTTTCTACCTCAGTCCCAGCTCCATTTTGGGAAAAAGCAGTTCTTACTGCTACTTTTCTTCTCAACCGTATGCCTATTTCCCTTCTTTCTAATCGGTCTCCTTATGAGGCTCTGTTCTCTCAACTTCCTAATTAGTCCCTCCTTCGTGTGTTTGAGTTTGCTTGTTTTGTCCTTCTTTCCTATAAAGATCGAACCAAACTTGGTGCCCAGTTTGTCCTATGTGTCTTTTTGGGTTATAGTCCTACTCAGAAAGGCTATCAATGTTACGACCCTGTTTCCCGTCGTCTTTATGTCTCCCGTCATGTTTCTTTTCTCGAATGTTTGCTTTATTTTCAACTTCTTCCTGTCACTGCTCCAGTTTCCAAAGACAATTTGGTTCAGATTGACCTATTTCCTTTTGAGGTACCGTCTGATGAGTACATCTCCACAGGTCCTCCTGAGCTTGTTTCATCTTTTCCTCCTGTTTCACCTCTGACTGCTTCTCCTCCTTCAGTTTCTTCTCATCCTCCGTTATTAGTTTTTTCTCGTTGCAAGGCTCCTCCTCCACCGGTTGTCTCTATCCCTGCTATTGATCATCCTGCTTTTGACGACTCTGATCTTGCTATACATCGATATCCTACTCGAACGTGTCATCCTCCAAACAGATTGGGTTGGTCTAATACATGTTTTTTTGTTTTCTATCGTACTTTTTTGTCTCCTATTCACTCTTTTTCAGAACCTCAGTCTTACAAGGAGACCTGTCAGGATCCTCATTGGGTTCAAGCTATGGAGGATGAGTTGTCTGCTTTACAGAAAACTAGTACTTGGGAGTTGGTTCCTTTGCCTGTTGGTAAGAATTTGGTTGGTTGCAATGGGTCTACAAAGTCAAGACTCATTTTGATGGTTCTCTTGAGCGCTACAAATCTCGTATGGTTGCCAAAGGTTTCTCACAAGAGTATGGTATTGATTATGAGGAGACCTTTACTCCTGTTGCCAAGATGACTACTATCCGTACTTTGATCTCTATCGCTACTGTTCGTTCTTGGCCTCTTTAGTAGATGAATGTCAAGGATGCTTTTCTTAATGGTCATCTCACTGAGGAGGTTTACATGCGTCCTCCCCCTGGCCTTCATTATTCCTCTAGACAGGTTTGTCACCTTCGGCGTGCTTTGTATGGTTTGAAACAGTTTCCCCGTGCTTGGTATGATTGCTTTCAGACTGCTGTTACTAAGCTTAGGTTTCATCCTTGTGCCCAATACTCTGTTTTATTTTTTCTCCACACCTCAACTGGATTTGTTGTATTATTATTGTATATGGATGATATGATTATCACTGGCTCTAACTCTTCTGCTATCTCTGAGGTCAAGCAGCATCTCTTCCGCACCTTCGAGATGAAGAATCTTGGTTCTTTGCGGTATTTTCTCAGTATTGAAGTTGCTTCTTCTCCAAAAGGCTATTTTCTGTCTCAAGCTAAGTATGTTAATGAGGCCATTCACCGTGTTGGTCTTACTGACACTAAGGTTTCTGATACACCTACTAAGCTTAATATGAAGCTCAACTCTACTAACGGTATCCCTCTGGATGATCTCACTTTGTATCGCGAGCTTGTGGGTTGCTTAGTTTATCTGACGATTACTCATCCTGATCTTACCTATGTTGTTCATGTGGTTAGCTAGTTTGTTTCTGCTCCTCGTTCCCTACATTGGGCTGCCTTGATTCGAATTATTCGCTATCTCCGAGGTACTATATTTCAGGGTTTACTATTGTCCTTTACTTCTTCTATGAATTTGGTGGCCTATGCTGATTCTGATTGGGCTGGTGATGTTATTGATCGCAAATCCATGTCTGGTTTCTGTCTATTTCTTGGAGATTCCTTGATCTCTTGAAAAAGCAAGAGACAAACTGTTGTTGCTCGCTCTATTGTCGAAGCTGAGTATTGCGCTATGGCTCATGCTACTGCTGAGATTGTTTGGCTTCGTTGTCTCTTATCTGATTTGAGTGTCCCTTAGTCTTCTTCGACCTCTCTCTATTATGACAACCGCAATGCTATTCAGATTGCCCACAATACTGTCTTCCATGAACGAACGAAACACATTGAGATTGATTGTCACTTTGTCTGACAGCATCTACAGTCTGGCTCTATCTCGCTTCCTTATGTCTCTTCGGCTTTGCAATTTGCGAACTTCTTCACCAAGACTTACACTACCGCTCGGTTTCAGTTTCTTTTTAACAAACTCTCAGTGTTTTCTGCTAAAACACCTTGAATTTAAGCGGGGGTATGAGAATATATTGTGTATAGAATTAGGAAAAATTGTATTGCGTATAGAATTAGGAAAGATTGTGGTGTAACTATATGACTGTATTTCCTTTTTCGTATTTTCCTTTTTTAGTCATAGGTTTAAGGTTATATAAACCGATAACCTCCTTTTAAAGAAACACAATTGAATATACAATTTCATTTAGAAAACTTACACTAGAACTACCAGATGCAACGCAACTAGCACATTTGGGAGTCTGGCCTACTTCTCTCCCATAAAAAATGGGAGGCATATTTGTGGAATGTGTTTTTGTGCCACTTGAGCACAGATTTTGTTGCGGGATTTAAAGGGGTTAGAATCACCGGATGCATCTCATCTTGCACCTTTTACTTTGGCATAGCCACCATCTTGTTCATAATAAATGTTCAAGAAGAGGAGGACACAAATAACCAACTAGTAATGCAAGGATGAGTTCAAGCGCATAGCTCTTTAGGATGCAACTATGTCAATGTAAAAGGTGTCAGTATAATGTGAAACTCTTACACGAGCCTAATCCTAGAGGATGTACAAAATGATCCACCAACAATGAGCATTAGCTAATCATTTGGAAAATCAAACCCTGTTATCTGGGACATGGGTCGTTTTGGCACAAGGAACGGGATCGGGAATGTGGTACGATAGAGATAGACTTCTTTAGATTACACTGTTAGAATTAAGGTACTTCTAACGCTATTTTTTAAAACAACCAGGTATCCAATAAAATGTTTTTTTTTTCCCCCCCAAATAAATCATGTTTCAACACATTTCAAATAACACTATGACCCACTTTTTTAAGTTTTGTCGTACAAAAACTCCATTTTCTTTAGATTTTAGTTATTATATTGATTGTTTTTCCTCTTAAGGTAACTTTTATGATTTATAGTGAAAAAAAAAAATTTTGAGATCGCTTTGGATTGCTAAATTCACCGTTTTGGAATGAAAGTATACCGTCGTTTAGAAATTGCAGTCCAAAAAATAAATCGCTAGGTCATTACTGTTTTCTAGTATCACTAATCAAACCTATGCCATCCAATGGTTGAGCAGTCATCCCAACCAACTCACTTACTCGTGCGGGTCATGTCTACCGTTCCTGATTACACTAACTCTGAACTGAAAATATTTCCATGGAATTGGAATGCATGACAAGCTAGGTATATATTGCATGCATTTAAGGCACTATGCTTAAACTAACAAAAAAATGAAGATACCAAATTCTAATTCACAATAAGTTTTTGAAAACACGTGTGTGTATCAAAAATATTTTTTGTTTTCATTTTTACTAAAAAACAAACATAAAACATGTTTTTAAAAAGAATAAACATAAAACATGTTTAATGTTTTTGTAAAGAAAAAGACAACAAATTGTAAACGTTACCAAACAGCAATAAGACACCAAATTCTAATTCCAAATGCACAAGAACAATGCAAAGAGGTCTCTCAATAGTTTCCAACTTATTGCAAGTCAATGCACCTCCCGAAATAAGCAGCCTGTTAAATGGACCTACACACAAAACCCTAGTTTAATAGAATTATGGAAATGTTCAATATTTATTTATTTATTTTGAATTAATCCATATACGGATTGGTGGGCATTTTGCTTGCAGGTTGAAACATGCAATGGATTGAATGAATGACAAGAAAAAGAACATAATTCCTACAAACAAAAACCCTTTTTCTATCTCTTTGAGTAGGGTTTTAACTTTCAACCACATATAATAACTCATCAATTAGACCAACTATAAGACTCGAGCACCAAAGCAAAGTAGGAAAGACCCATGTATGAAGGAACACAAACATGCATCAAGCTCAATAACTCCCTTAATACACAATCGCCCAATTGCTCATGGTTTAGCAAACCTAAATTGGAGAAAGCCAAATAGGTAGGGCTCTAAAATGAACCAAACTACTCAAACTCAATTTGTGTGGGCTTGTTAAAAGCTCATTAGAGATCAACTTGTTATGTAAAACAACCCTGTTCAAACGCATTTTAAAATTCCTTAAGTTTTCAAACCAAGACTATGGACTCGATTAAAGTTTGTTTGAGATAATCTCAAAATCTAATCTTGTTAAGTTTAAAATCAGACTTAAACAAACACGGCCTGGGAAAAAAAGAAAAATACATTAATCCAATTGGGAAAAAGAAAGGGAAAACAATCAAACTAGATTTGACCCATCCCCAGAATAGAAGAAGTACACAAACATGTGATAATAGATCAGGAATTAGAGGTCCCCCCCAACCCCCCTCTCTCTCTCTGCACTTGAAGTTTCAGGAAGACAGAGTGTCAAGAGGGGGAAAGTTTATATCAGAAAACCCAGAAGAAGAAAAAAGACAACCAACCCAATACCCTTCCCCCATCAGCAACAACATGATCTTGATCTCAGACCCCACATGCATTCAAGAATACATACAAAAGATGAAAATTAGAAAAAGAAGAGAAGCAAAAAAGATACAAAAAAGTGAAAACACTGGTGAATATATGCAAACTCATCATGTACCTGTATATATATATATATAGAGAGAGAGAGAGAGAGAGAGAGAGACGGAGAGATGGAAATAGAAAGATGAGAGAGAGACCTTTGGGATCTGGTAAGGTGAGAAGGAGCAAGAAACAGGACTGTTGGAGTGAAATTGGACATGTCTCCTCCCTTGAAACCCTCAAGTCTTTTTTTCTCTCTCTGTCTATCTAAACACACTCTCTCTCTCTACCCAAAAAAAACAACTCTCTCTCTCTGTGAAAATGTTTTTCTGAATCTAGTTGGCTTTGGTGTGACCAACCCACAACAATAATTAATGAAACCGCCTCCTCCTCCACCATTACCATCCATCCATCGAGTCAGTTCCACCTTCTTGCTATTTTGTTTGTTTATGGGATTTAGCATCAGTCTTGTCGTCTTCTGACTGGAGTGGAGCTAAAAAAGCTTTGCAATTGAAAAATCAACAAAGCAAGAGTGATGATTATTAAAATTATAAATTATTTTTTGTAATTTTAAAAATTATATTATATTTTTTAAAATTTTTAATTTCATAATAAATAGATTTTTTTATTAATAAATTATCAAATTAATTAATAATTTTTAATAATATTAAAATTTTATCTCAATTAATAATTCATATAATTTTATTATTATATAGGTGAATAATTAGAAATTTTACTTTTTCAATTAATTCTATTAGATAAAAAAATTTGCAGAGAGATATCTATAATTTTTTAAATCAAAAAAGGCAATTCATATTTTAAGCAAATTTTAAAAATATGAATTTGTAATTTATCCTTAAATTTTTACTAAATTGTGATGGAAAGTCACACTACAAAGCTTTTCAATTGAAAAATCAATAAATCAAGAGTAATATTATATATATTAAAATTTATATTAAATTGTGAGATTTATTTTTAAGTGAGATATTTGATAAAATATTAAAAAATATTATGTTAAATGGTGTACACTAAATACATTTTGTAATTAAAGAAAAAATGTTATAATTCATATTTTGTAAGTCATAATTAAAGAAAAAATAATAATCATAATTAAAGAAAAAAATTGTATAATTAGGGGTACATATGGTGGTACTCTTTCAACGGTGTGTTTGTTAGAATTCTTCTAAAATATTTTGTAGAAATTTTGAGGCCTATAGCATTTTTCATAAGGTTCTATTTGTTTAGAAAGAAACAGATGACAAAAAAGGAAATATTATATGTGTACCATATGCACTTTATAACTAAAAAAAACCACACAACTTTATACTTTATGAATCATAACTAAACACAACATGAGATATAATTAAAAAATTCATGAATTATAACTAAAATAATATCATAACTAATTGTGTGTACATATGATACACCATTTTCAAGGGTGTGTGTATATTGAAAATTTTCCTAATAGAAACTAAAAGTAGTAGAAAGTGAAGTGAAAAATGCATGCATTTGAATGGATGAAAAATTTTGTAAGAAAGTGATTAAAAAAAAAATACATCACTAGCAAGGAGTTGTGGAGAGAAATATGAACAAAAAGGAAAACAAAATAAATCTTTCCAAAATTTGTGGGAAAAAATTAAAATTTTCTAAATATTTTACAAGAAATTATTAGCCAAACTAACAAGCTAATTTGAGTTGTACAAGAAATTTTAATTTCCATTACTTTCTATGACTCTCTCTATAAATAAACACATAAAAATAAATAAATTCTTTTATCTAACCAAATTGAGCCTAAAGCAATTAAGCCATTTTTGCTATAATTTATTGGAAGTTAAAAATAAAGGGTAAATTATAAATATATTTATGAAAATTTGCTTAAAATACAGATTGTCTATTGTAATTTTAGAATTTATAAATACCCTTTGTTTAAAAAAAATTATTTAACAAAATTAACAAAAAGAAAATGAAATTTCTAACTACTCTCTTATATAATAATAAAATTACATGAATTGTTAATTGGAATATATTTATAACATTATTAAAAATTATTAATTGACTTCATGATTTATTAATAAAAGTTGTCATTTATTATGTGATTAAGAACATGAAAGAGTGGAATGTAATTTTCAAAATTATAGAGAACAATCTATATTTTAAGCAAATCTTAAGAGGTGTATTTGTAATTTTCTAAAAATAAATTATTAAAATGTAGAAATTAAAAGTATTTCATTTTAATTTTTAGATAATCATTTTTTTTCAACTTCGGTCTATTTTGGAAAGTCACACTTTTAGTAAAAAAAATTACTGCAAAAATTATAACTCTTCTTTCTATTTTTTTTATAGGAAAAATTAGTCTAAGGCCTCTCTTCTATTTTTAGTAATTGAAGATATTCACAATATTATATGATGTCTAAGATCTCTCAACCCCACACCCATGTATCACAGAAAAATTTGATATATCTCACGGCTTCAAACCCTCACCACACACTCTCTCTCTCTCTCTCTGTCGGACTCACGCCTCATCTCTTCTATCTTCTCGCTGCTCTTTTTTCTCTGGTTGTGGTGGTGGTGGTGGTGGTGTTGAGTGGTCTCAGATTTGTATATCGATTTCAATGGCTTTAAAGTATAACTAGGGTTTTGCGGTAGTCTTTTTCGAAGTTCAGTCATTAAAGTTTTTTTTGGGGTTTTTCTTGTTGGGATTGGAAATGGAGACTGCAAACCCTTTCGATTTGCTGGATGATGATGATAACGATGACTCGTTGCATCTAATCGTTGCTCAACAGCAAAAGATCGTTCCTAATAAGGCTGTCACTCCAACCACCCAAGCCCTCCAGGCTCAGCAGCTTAAGCCTACAAAGCTATCCTCCAATCCTCTCCCTCCAGTTTAGGCTGGTGAGCTATCTATTCACTTTGTTGTTCAATCTCTCTTTAACATGCTGCATGTATTTAAGATTTGAATTCAACAATGGCATCCCAAGCCCTTATCGTCGTTGGCTACCAATCTGCTAGCAAGTCCAGCATCCTTGAATCCCTCGTCGAAATCAGCCTCCCACGCGGCCAAGGCATTTGCAACAGAGTCTCCCTCATAATGAGGCTTCAACACCACCCAAATCCCCAGAAAATCAAATGGGAGTATGCGATTTGGCCAGAGAAAATGAACAAATTTCTCTGGCCATCACACAGAGAAAATTAACATAGAAAATTAACAGACACAATTTTCTCTGGTTTGGTTAAAATTGAGAGAAAATTATGGGCAAATCAGAGAAAATTAGTCAATTTTGTCTAAGTTCATTGATTCTTCAGAACGAAACGAAGAAAATTACTCAGAGAAATTTCAATTTCTCTGAGTTCAAACTAGAGAAAATTAAATGCTTTGAATTTTCTCTGGTTGAACCTAGAAAAGTTTTTTGGGAAGTCCAGAATTTCTCTTGATTGTAATTTCTCTGTATCAATCTTGAGAGACCTTAGATATTATAAAAATATTAAATGTCATTTATATTATAAAATCTTAATATCAAGGATCCTAAAAAAAAATCTCATTTTTTATACTTATCTTCATAAAAAGTTAAAAATTCATTAAAATAATTAATTTCCAAAGCAACCGTTAGAGCATCTTTAATTTTTTCTACTTTTTTTCATATAATTTAATTTTAAAATTAAATAAAAAAACTTAATTTGATATGAGCTATTCCAACTCTTTCATTAAATTTTCATTAAAATCTTTTTAAAAATTTCACTTTTACTCTAATTTTTCATTTTCATCAATTTGATGAAAAGATTCTTTTAAAAAATAAAAAAAAAATCTCCAATGCTTTATCTTTTTATATTTTCATTAAATTCAATTTTGACAAAGAATTTGATGAATTTTTAATTTGATCAAAAATTATTTATACCATAATTTGATAAACATTTGATAAAATGATACGATATAGTTTTGAACACTTTAAGATTGTAAGCAGAAACTACACCATTATACTCTCAGAATAAATAAATAAATAAAAACTATCACCTATTTAAATAAATTGCACTAAACAATCCCATTACATATTTAGAGTTTGCATCTTGAAAATTATTCCAAAAGTATGAAGTGTATGGTGTAGTTTTGAAACTCCAGTATAACATGGGCTCCATCCAAAATGAACAAGATCTATTATTAGTGTAATCTTCAATTTAGGAGTTGTTTGGAATGTCCTAAATAAGTATACTTTTTGACTTTTTAAACTAAAAAGTTGAGGAAAAAAAAGATAGTTGTTTGAGATAATTTTTTATCTTTTCACCAAAAAATATGTATTAAAATATTGTATAAAATGAAAAAAAAAATAAATTTACCCCTACATTGTGCACTCATTAGTGACAGACGGCAGGAGGATAGTACGGTTTGGTTGAAATGGTGCATGAGGCTTCACGGGTATTGTTGGGTTGTGAGGGCCCACCACGGGTTCCGTTTTGATAATCCGAACCGTTTTCAATGTGTAAAACTCGCTGAGTATTATATGCTTATAAAAAATCACTTTAATCGGATATTGATAGGTATGTGATCAAAACATTTTTGTATGAAATTAATGGACAGTGAAAAATAAACGGCTGAAAAAAATCTGATTTGATCACATAGCTATCCATAGTTGATCAACATGATTTTTTACAGACATATAGTACTCGACGAGTTCTACATATTCAACGGTTCAAATTATCAAAACGGGACCTGTGATAGGCCCCCACAGACCCAACATTATCCTCCAACTTAATGAATATATATATCTAATTTTATTTTTTATTCCTTTGACAGACCAATATGTACTTATGAACCATCAATTCAGTACCAGTACTGTCAACTCGTTGGTTTGTATTAAAATATTGTGTAAATTAATTTTTTTTATATTTTTAATTTGTGAATAGTAATAGCTTTTAACTTTTTTAATAATTTTTTAATTTTTTTTTTGATATGTCAGAGCATCTCTGTCACGACCCAAACCCAGCCCTATGGGTTTAGCACCGTAACCGGCCAGTAATCTGAGATTACCGAAGGCCTGCAGAACAGTAGTACAGTAAAACAGAGTACAGGGCCTGGCAGAAGCCAATACAGTAAATGAATAATGTCCATTGAGCTGTGTCAGTCTGTATGCCAAAAAGATTTTTCATGCAATCACGTATACCAACAGTACAGTCTATACAAAATTTACAGTCACACAGTATAGGGGCCTAATCCCTTGATAACAGTACGGTTAGCAGTTAACAGTCTATACAGTAATCCAAACAGTATGGAGACAGACGGGGGAAAAACAAGGCACCCCCAAGCCATAGCATGGAAACTCGGAACCTCTCAGTGAGGCACAAAGGCTGGCTTGACAAAACTGGAGTCTAACCCACGCTCCTAGCTCCGATCTGGCGGCTGAGCACCTACATATATATATATATAAACAGTGAGCTAAAGCCCAGTGAATAA